GAGAATCTGAGATACCAAGGTGTAGAGCTGGATGAACACAGCAGGCCTTCTTAAGGGTCTAGGCCCGAAACGTCAGCCTTCCTGCTCCTCTGATGCTGCTTGGCCTGCTGTGTTCATCCAGCTCTACACCTTGTTATCTAAGATGGCAGGTTTACTTCCCTAAAAAACACTAGTGAACCGGATGGGTGTTTACAACAACACATAATGGTTACATGGGTCAACATTCACTTTAACATAGAAACACAGAAGAAAGGAGTGGGAGGCCATTTGGCCCTTTGAGTCTGCTCCGCCATTCATCACAATCATGGCTGATCATCCAACTTATTAGCCTAATCCTGCTTTCTCCACATAACATTTGATCCCATTTGCCCCAAGTGCAATATCTGGCCGTCTCTTGAATACATTCAATGTTTTGGCATCAACTACTTCCTGTGGTAATGAATTCCACAGGCTCACCAATCTTTGAGTGAAGAAATATCTCCTCATCTCCATCCGAAATGGTCTACCCTAAATCCTCAGACTGTGACCCTTGGTTCTGGACACACCCACCATCAGGAACATCCTCCCTGCATCTACTATCTAGGCCTATTAGAATTTTATAAGTCTCTAGGAGATCCCCCCTCATTTGTAAGACTTTTATTAAACACAAATTTCACCACCTGCCATGGTGGGATTCAAACCCATATCAGCCAAACATTTGCCTGAGATTCTGGATTACTACCATGAACATTACCGCTAAGCTACCACAAGTCTCAATGAGTACAAAATAATAATTCTAGTAATGAAAATGCACCTCTAAGTGTTGAGTCTCATTTCTTCAGCTGTTAATTGCTTTTGGATATTTTAAAAATGAAAGTTATTGTTCATTTTCCTCTCTATTTCTTTTAGCTTTCCCTCTCTCAATCATATCTTTATTTCACTTTCTGTATATGATATTACATTGAATTAACATTCTTTTAGATAATGCATGCATTAGTAAACATTCTTCAATCTGGCTGGTTGTATGCACACCTGTTCCATTCCTGTTCACAAAAGTCCCAAATCTGTTTAGAGGGTGTTTCATTGAGACCATACAATGATCCTAGGTTGTCATGCAAAAGCCCACCAAAAGGCTGTAAATACATCAAACTCCATGCATTATCCTTGCAAACACAAAATACAGATGAAAGAATATATTCAATTCAGAAGTTTTCAAGTACCCAAGTTTGTAGTGATAGAATTTCTAGTAGTTTCAACAATCCTAAAATACTATTTAAAATAAAGTTTATCCCTGATTCTTTTCACATTAAGATCAGCCTTAGCTATGAAATGTTCTACTAATGCTCAAATACATCAAGTGGAATTAATTATTAGTTCCAGTATTGTACTGCCAAAATAATATAAAAGCCGTCCAAGATTAAAAGCAAGGTACATTTAGCCCATTTAACATAGTGTGTCATTTTGCTTTGTATTTCATTTCCCTTCTGTTTTCTATTAAGTATATACCTCATGTTAGATCGTGAAACAATGTATTTGCTTTTTGAACTCTGCAACCAAGCCAATTTCCATAACAAAAACAAAAGATTAGCGCTAGACTACTTAGCTCCTTATTCCACTGCCATTAAAAGACATCAGAGCTGATTTGCAAATTAACTCCACAAACACACCTTTGCCCTATATCCCCAACACCTTTAAGTGATAAAATTCTATCAAGCTCAGATTGATTTCCAAATGATCAAGAATCAATTGCTGTATGTAGAATATAATTTAAAATCTTTTAATCACCCTTTGCGTGTAGAAGTGTTTCCTAATTGAACTCTTGAAAGTTCTGAGGTTTTTATTTCGGCTATATCCCCAGCGCTAGACTCCTCAAACAGCAGGAACAGTTTATCTCCATCTATCTATTCCCCTTAATATTCTGTAAACATTGATTGAAACACCACCTAACTGAAATTCCAGGGAATACACACTAATGACTATAATTTTTCCTTATAATTAAGGCCTTGGAGTCTGGTATCATTCTCCTAAACCAGCACTGCATTCCCTCCAATATATCCTTCCTGAAGTGTCTGCCCAGAACTGCATACTGTATTAAATTCATTCCGTGAACACTCTTTACTGGGTAAACAGGCTTCTCATTACGCCATTGTTTTCCCAAGCTTGTTGCATGTTGTAGGCATTGCAGAAAACAAATAGCCCTCTCTATATCGATGACACAATTTTAAGAAGATGCTCCTTCTCAGCTCATCACTCAAAACTATTTTCTCTAATGAGAATTTTTCTGGTCAAATCCAGAAACTATCCATGCCCATTCTTTGGAAGATATCTCTGTGGATTCTTGTCAATAATAGTGATCAAACGTGGAAAGCCATTTAAAGTCTTAGCATTATTTTGGGACCAGCATAACTTCTTTTAAAATCTCAAGGAATCCAGTTGCAGTTGTACACATTTAACACAGAAAATTTAAAATTGATAGCAACACTCTGGTCAATCAATCCACAAGCCAGATAGGAACTGAGCAATGCCAGCAGGAATACACTTCTCATTAAATATTCTGTAATTTGACAAAAACTGATAGGTTACAAGGTATAAAACCTCAATATTATTTTTTTTAAATATCTGAAGGCAAAAGCTACTTAAGAATGAAAGGATTATTGCAGTCACATTTCCTTGAACTTTCCAATGTTAATTATGCAACTCGCCCACCCTAATTAATCTGTTTTGAGAGATTACAGTAAGGTTAAAAGTTCATTGTAAAATTTAACATTACACAGCATCTCAAGTCAAGTCATGTCTCACCCAGCACAAAAGGAATTCTTTAGCTAAATACCACACAAATTAACTGTAACATAATAACATAATAAATGTTTCATTAACTGAATTTTGCTAATTAGAACATAGAACAGTACCACACAGGAACAAGCCCTTCAGCCCATCATGCCTGTGCTGACCATGATGCCATTCTAACCTAATAACATCCGTTTGCACGTGGTCTGTATCCCTTCATTCCCTGCATGTTCATGCGTCTGTCTAAACGCCTCTTAAATATTGGTCCCATATCTGCATCTACCACATCCCCTAGCAGTGCATTCCAGGCACCTACCACCCTCTGTGTAAAAAAACTTTCCTTGCACATCTTCTTTAAATTTTTCCCCTCTTAATTTAAACCTATTCCCTCTAGTATTTGACACTTCCACCCTGGGGAAAAAGACTCTGACTATCCAGCCTATCCATGCCCCTCATAATTTTGTATTCTTCCACCAGATCATCCATCAACCTTTGAAGCTTTAGCAAAAATAATACAAGTTTGTTCAACCTCTCCTTATAGCCATAATACTCCAATCCAAGCAACATCTTGGTAAATCTCTTTTGCATCCTCTCCAAAGTCTCCATATCCTTCCTATAATGTGGTGACCAGAATTGCACACAATTAAAGCTTTGACAAAATGCAAAACGTCTATATCAAAACTGAGATTTCTATATAGCATTACAGAATGATGAAATAGGTTGTATTCTGCCCTCAACTTTGACTCTAAAACCAAAGCAATACTGCGAAAATATTGCAAGAAAATGTGACATCAAAACATTGGTAAAAGTGGAATCCAATGTAATAAAAGGAACTGTACTTATTCAGTAACCATAAACCAATAATTTCTTATTTGTGGTTTGCAGCCATTATAAATTATGTGCTGAGATCAACGATTTTCCATCTACACGGTAAAGTGCAAGATTCCTGGAATCTAATCCTCAAAAGAAAATCTTGGAATACTATGTAAAAATGGAATTTGATTCATCCTAGTATCATGTACCAATAGTTCTGTAAAGTAAGTAGATTACAGCATAGAGGCATTGCCTGAATTACTCAAGGGTGAACACCATAAAAGGGCAAAAAGAACAGGCAAGACAAAATCCAGTGCTTCATCACAATTACAATTTTCACAAAAGCAATATTGCAACCTAGACTCATGCCAATGGTAGTCTTACCCATCAAACAGATCCATTGTAGTTATGATGACTTCACTGAAGAAAACTACTTGACCTAGGACATTAGTTTGCAGATTTTCGCAGTAGATTTTCAGGTCAAAATATTCTGATGAGAATTTTTGCGATTCTATGATGACGGGCAAGATATTACGTGTGACCTCCATTCCGGGTTGTTGCATTGTTACAACTTTTAAAGATACTTTCTGTGACCTAAATACACCTTCCATGTCCAGTCTGGGCCATAGCCATCTTAGGAAAGTTTGTCGAATATCCTGAAATAGTAAAAATTGCAAGCTTCAATGAAAACGATAACTTACTGGGGTCCTGACACCTGATTTTAATCTATAAGGAAATTATTACTCAAGGAACTGAGTACTAATCAAAGCACCTGAACACAGGAATCAATGACATAGTTTATGGCGCTAGTAGATTTTTACTACAGGATTACCATTTTCAAAATTACCAGATGAACATTTACTATTAATGGTGTAACTGTGCTGAGTTAAGTTCCATCCGAATAAAATAAACACATTATATTCAAGTTTTGCAATGTTAGTGTGAAGAATAACCCATTTCAAGCCCCTATTGTCTGCATCGAGTGCTCTCAGATCAGATATAATAGTTGGATGCACAGTAAAAGCTCTCAACTTGACACTAAAACATTAGCTCAACCTCAGAAGAGTACTCCCCAATATATTAAAGTACAAGATTTTTTTTATATCCCATAACAATTATCCTAAGTCACCTCTATTAAACACTAATAATTGTCATATTAGCTGCAATTTTCTTTTGCCCACTCATGCCGACTTGATGCAGGTTTGAAACTGCGCTTATTACTTTCATCGAGCAGTCTGAAGGTCAGTAAACATAGAAGACATCTGCACTGCATTTGAATCCAACCCCAGAGGGAAGGACCAATATCCAATCCACCTTGGTGTAGTTTCGCCTTCTCATCTACCTTGGTTATCAAATACGTCCGTGCAATTAACAATTCAGGTATGTCCACTTAAATTAAAATCTCTCTGCTAATCCATGTGTAAATTATACGCAAATTTTAGCAGTGACACAGAGGAATGGCAAAGCTCCCTATAATATTAGGGGGAGAGAAACTGTACTGCTCTGGTCATGAGTCGAGCAGGTTTTTTTTTTAAAGAAAGAAGTAACACGCAACAGCAATTTAACTTGTCTGTAATTCATTATAAGAAAAACCTGCACTGTACGCTAGGGCATGTCTGATTCTGAAACAAATTCACACTACAGATATGCCGAATTTCCGAACGAAGAACATTAAGCAGACTATTTTTACAGCTACCGCAGTTACAATGAATGATCTGGAAGCAATCTTATAAGCAGCCTGCACTCATCAGCAAAATGTTTATTGTGACAAAGTAGCCAAGGTCGAAGGTTAAATGTCACCTCCAAACTCCTGACATACCTACAAAGGAATGAATGCAAGTTTTTACATTTGAGAACAGTGCATTTTGTGTTGTGGAGATTCATACAAAACACTAAGCAGTTTATCCGATATATCCATTGATGACGTGTATTTTTTAACGTGTAATTCCTTCTTTAAATGATCCATTTTGACAGAATATTCAAGATATCCAAATACTATATTGTGTGAAGGTTTTCAATTATATTTTCCTTATCAAATTGTTGCAATCTTTGCACTACCCATGTTTAAACAGAACCTATTCGTAGATAAATAATTTTTGTTATGAATAATTTTAAATGAAACTAGCTGCAAAACCGTCATCGTCTTTATTAATTACTGTAATTATTAACATAATTAAACATATTTGTGAGACAAAGTGAAGGCACCAATTCAAGCATCCCATCACCATTACAAATATCTTATACAAACATTGAAATGTTTGATTTGACCATACCCTTCTCAAACTTAGAAAGATAAAACACCTCAAATGTAAAAGGAACTGTCAAAATTGTTCTAAGTAATTTGCTAATTTTAATGAAGTGTTTGAATCCTAAAAGGCACAAGCTACCAATTAAGAAAACGGGAATTAAAGTCATGCAAAACACTTTCACTCAAAAGATAAGAGTTTTGTAATAAAATATTAGATCAGGGCACTGAATCAAATAATAATTATAAAAGTTAGAAATGCAAAAGGCACTCATTCTGAAAATGACACAATTGAGAAGCTTGGTAAGTGCGTAAATGTGTGTGACTGATCAAAGTAGAATGGTAAAATAGGGCGTATGACTGCTGCCTGTCCAAGTTGCTTAGATCCTATGATGCCACACTATGAAAGAATAAACAATCAATTGCTTAAAAAGTGTTAGTTAGAATTCTCAAAGGAATGGATTCACCAATTCAACTGTGAATATCCCACAGTATGAAAAAGGTTAAAAAAAACTCCCAATGAGAAAATAGTAGTGGATAACAAAGTCTTACAAACAGTTATGGTTAACTGGAGGAATGTGCTGGTAATCAAGCTTCACTACTCTGTGAACTACAAGAAAAGTGCAAATGTTTTATTTAATCACTGAATGGTCAATCGTTTTCTCTTTGTGACTGTTATCCAGAAGAAAACAGGCTTTCACCAGGTTCCTTCAATATCCTGAAAATAACTTGTTTGTTATAAATACAACTTACTCTTTAAACAAGTGACAAAACTGCTTAACAATTGACCTGTTGTGCAGAACTAAACCCCACACACACACATACAAATCTTCCCAGTCCTTGAAGAAGGGAGGCAATGGTGAGACAGTTAGGAAAATATACCAAGAATATAATAAATTAAATTCTCATTAGTGAGTAGAGAAAAATCAGATTTTACACAAAGATTCAATGGCTAGATTAGAATCTCACTAGTGAAGGGCCAATTGCTTTTATTAATGTTTCATTATTCCTTAAGCTCCCCTCATTTATTTGCAGGGTGCTTTGTTCCCATGCAGTGGAGAGAAACTAAATGGCGCCAGTTCCCAACATGAAAATCCAAGTGGTCACCTGGTGACTGCACAGAGGTTGGCATTGGCAAAGCACTAGAGTCACCACAATCATCATACAACATTTCAAACTCACTTATAATACAGTTCACGACAGTTAATGTGCACTTTGGACTTAGTGACACCATCCATTGCAACACAGACACCAGACAGCTCCTTGGCCTTGTGTATGAAGCAGTTTCAGGATCTTAGCTTGCTTTCTTAGCATTCACCCACTTTGCACCTATTGGATGCTCACAGAGTCTCTGCCTTTTTGCGTATTGCTGCTTCATTCATAATTTACAGGCGCAAGTTCTGCCTTGCCTTTTAGGGCAGTCAGAAAGCCAGGCAGCTTGTCATGCTCTTTGCAATGAATGGTAAAGGGATGGATCTGTTGCTGTTCAGCACTTGCTACATCAATTTCACACTGACACTACATACCAGTAGCTTACATGGCAAATACACTGAATGTGCTTGAATCACTTGTCCTTGGACCATAAATGGGGAACTATGGTCAGTCAGCTGGCCCCATCACAGTCAGCCAAGGGCATAGTTTGATCTCAGTCAAAGGGCTTGGACGCTGTCAGTCAGCCACTTAGGGCAATCAGGGTCGGTGATCTATCTCAATACAGTCCAATGAATGGGCCACAGTCAATCCTCCGGTTCAAGACCAACACATCCAGGGATTAGCAGCAAGTCAGCCAAGGATCTGGACAGAAATTAGTCAGAATCTGGTCCTTCATCACTCAGGGATGTCCCTCTAAGTCAGTTAGTGGGGTGGGCTACTGTCAGTCCTCTGGATCTGTGCATTGGAAGTCAAGGGTTTATCACGAGGCAGTGTTGCGGTGGGGATGCCAGAGAAGTCGATGGTGGGGATTGGAGACAGCATACTGGAATGCAGAGTGGAGCAACGCAACATAACAGGATGGGAAACAATTCAGCATGAGGGGGCACAGGGTATTGCAAGACGTTAGGGTCATCTATTGTCACGATCAACTTGGTTTTGATGGGCATCATGATAGTTGATCTAACTAAGCCGTAGGTCTGGTGTCAGAGGGGTAAAATGAGGAGATGAAGAGTTTAAATAAAAGGGTGCAAGGCAAAAACGGAGCGATCGGGGGGTTTGAGAGGCTGAGCCTGCAACTCATTCTCTGCAGCACTGGCTGTCTTGCCTTTCATTGCAAATGTGCACGAAAGTAAAAATGGCTCCCAGCATACCCACAATGGATGGGCTATGTTTTTTTTTGACTGAGGGGATGGGCTCTACTTCTGAGCAATGTGAGGCCCTCAAGGGGTACCTCATGGCAAGCTGGTACAGAAGGTAGAGTCTCATGGGATCTGGGTGAACTGGCTAGATGGATAACAAAACTGGCTTGGTCATAGAAGATAGAGAGAGAAAGTGGAAGGGTGCATTTCGGAATGGAGATCAGTAACCAGTGGTGTTTCACAAGGATCAGTGCTGGAGGATTTTAGTTATGAGGAGAGGTTGGATAAACTCAGACTGTTTTCACTGGAAACGCCAATGAGTATAGTCCCAGAGTTTTCACTGGAAAGATGGAAGTTGAGGGGCAATCTGATAGGGGTCTACAAAATTATGAGAAGCATATACAGTGTGGATAGTCAGAGGCTTTCTCCCAGGGTGGAAAGATCAACTAAAATAGGGCACAGGTTCAAGATGAGAAGGTGAAAGTTTACAGTAGTGCGGAGAAACTTTGTCAGACAGAGGTTGGTGGGTACCTGTAACACACTGCCAGGGGAAGTGGTGGATGCAGACATGTTAGTAACATTTAAGGTGTATCTTGATAGACACATGAATGGGAGGTGAACAGAGGGAAAGGAACCGTGCATAGCAGATCTAAATAAGAATTAGGAATCAGCACAGGTTTGTTGGGCCAAAGGGCCTGTCCCTGTTGCTGTATTGTATTGAATTGTATTGTATACTTGCTTTAAGAGCCTAGGTGTAGGCCATCAGACCCTGGGATTTTTCTGCCTTCAATGCCAATAGTTTTGCAGTACTTTCTCCCCTAGAATGATGATTGTTCTAAGTTCAATCCTTTCTGGAACCTGTGCATTACCTGTTACTCTTGGGATGATTCTAATGTTCTCCACTGTGAAAACTGAGGCAAAATACTGATTTAGTGCCCCCACCATTTCTGTGCTTCTCATTTTTAACTCCACAATCTCATCCTCCAAAGGACCAACATTCACTTTAGCAGTCTCTTCCCTTTTATATACTTACAGAAGGTTTTGCTATCCGTTTTATATTTTGCGATAGTTTTCTTTCATAATTTACCTTTGCTCTTTTTACTACTTGTTTAGTAGCACT